CCCAGACCCTATTCTAACTATTAAGGCCCCTATATTACAGCTCTCCCCCGAAGCTCCGAACCTCAAGCCCTCTAGACTCGAGAGCGTTGACACCGACCGGTGGCCCTCTGATGGCTCTCCCCCCTTGGCTGCAGGAGAGTAATATAGAAGCCTAAATGGATTCCCTATACTATTTTGGGGTATAGGGTCTTGGGTTTAGGGTTAGTTACTAAGTTACCTATACTATTTGGGGGGGGGGAAAACTCCTTATTTTAGTTATAGTTGTTATATACCCCACGACCCTGTTAGAGTTATTAAGGCCCCTAGCGTATGACACCTCCTAGCATTGCTTACCGTGCCAGCCCTGAACCTTTCAGACCCTCCAGCCCGGCCCTACTGTAATAATTACCAATACTACTTCTTAGGGCTGCTTATTACAATTATAATATAAGGAGCCCAAAACCCTATTCCAATTATGAAGGCCCTTACATTACAGCAAAAAAGCCCCGCGAAGGCAGATTGCAGTTTGGCGGACGAGTGACCTGGTTCATGCAATGGAAGAGTGGCAGATTGACCCAACTACTGTCTGAGCACGAGGTAACGCAAGCATGACGTGTATTGTAAGAGGAAGCAGGCCATGAAGAGTACAAGGTGGCGTACTCTGTGGAGTACCCATAATAGTTCTAGAAGGCGATGCGTGAGAAGTGACCTTAGAAAGGCTAGCTTTTGGTAGCACTCGGGGCAGAGAGTAATGGCGGAGTCTCGACATGAGCCCAGAATGACCGTAGTGACCGTGGTGGTACAGTAACAGTTGTCCTATACTGAATAGTCCTATAATTAGGAGGGTGTAGCTGGGCCTGGCTCAAGGTTTCGGGCCCGTGATCGCCCGTCAGTTGCAAGCAGCAACAGGGGTCCAATCTCCCTTCTCCCGGGCACCCTGAATCCAACGTCTGAGCCCTTCCGCTTGTCACCTCCCAGGTTGAGGGCCTGCGAGTTCCCCGGCCCAAAAAAGCCAGAGTGGTTGGGTGCGTATAGTATGCATATTCGTAATTATTCGTACCCGTGCATGTATGTATGCTACTGGTGCTTATGTAAACGTGAAGGGCTGTGATGAGAACTAGATGGATCGGTGGTTTGTGGGTCAGGCTTCGGGTTTGCCGACGTTTTTGCGTGCTTCATGTTCCCAGTTGTCGTAGCCGATGACATTTCGAGCCGTTTCTCCGTTGCTGCAAGAGGGCCCCGGTAGGTACAGCAGTGAGGAAAGGTTCTTCCCTCTGGTTCCGTCTTCAGCACTGGGGATTGCAAGTTGCCCGCCGAATGGTGTAGGGCTTTCCCTGCATGACCTAGGAACTCGAAACCGTGATTTTGTCCGAAGATGGGGGCTTGCCGTTCGCTTCATTGGTTTAGTGATTGGTCGGTTGGTTGATAGTCGTTTCAATGCAATGTTAGCGTTACTTCCTCCAACAAACTCGCTACTTTTCTGCTACTTCGGGTTTCAGGCATCGATGGAAAGCGTTTGGGTGCTTGCGGTTCCTGAAACTGAAAACCCAGAAGCAACCTGACACCCTCAAACCCTAAACCCTGAACCCTTATAAACCCACAGCCCTTAATAACCCTAAACCCTACACCCCTACACCCCTTCACCCCTACACCCCTAAACCCCAAACCCCTAAACCCTGAACCCCTAAACCCTAAACCCGAAAGCCCCCTAAACCCTAAAACACAACTTTGCCAGAGTCTCAGGCACGGAGAGGCGCCCCTCGTCGGGCGGACTTGCAGTACGCAGATGGAGCAGAGCATCCCAAGGTCTCCGGAGTGCACCCCTTCGGTGGGTTTATGGGGGCTTTCGGGGGTTTTGTAGGGTTTGGGGTTTTATAGGGTCCTTTAGGGGTTCCTTCGTTTAGGATCCCTTTAAGGGTCTAGGGGTTTAGGGTTTACGGGGTTCCTTCGTTTTGGGTTTCGCGTTTAGGGTTTAGGGTTTACTGCTTCGGGTTTATGGGGACTGGGAGTGGGGTTCAGGAACTGAGGTTGTCCCTGCTGTTCATATTTGCATCTACCACCCTTCGGTGCGAACCTGTTCTCCAACCGCTGCATTTGCGAAACGTGGAAGGGTGCTTCTAACAGTGCACAAGCCTCTTCGGTTAGGTTAGGTTTAGCACGATAACATAAAGGGTATTCCACATGAATTCTGCAAAGCGCGTGCTTTGGTTAGCGATATGGCTCTATGCAATGTTACAGACACTTGAAGCAAAGATGGTTTTAAGCACGTTTTACGCCAGTTCCGGTGTATTTTTCCCGGAAGACGTCCATGTTTGCGGCATGTTCGAAGAACCCAAAGCTTCGCAGCTGCACAATCTCGGCCAGCAGCCGGGCCCAGAAGGGTTTAGGGCCTTTAGGGTTTAGGGTTTAGGGTTTTAGGACTTTTAGGGTTTAGGGCTTTAGGGTTTAGGGTTTAGGGGTTTAGGGTTTAGGGGTTTAGGGTTTAGGGGTTTAGGGTTTAGGGGGCAGAGAGTTTGAGGATTAGGCCTCAGGTTTGGCGAGCTGAGCCAGTCTGGAGAGTCGGTAGGTTTTGCTAGGCATTTACAGGTGTTCCATGAGGTGCTCGAGCTGGGTGTTGGGGGATGATCGCTATGGCAGTTGCTGGTATTCCGAGCGAAGGTTAGGGATCTGGTAGCGGATCAGCATGAGGTGCAAAACATGTAATTACAAACATGGCCTCCATACAATTTAATACAAGGCATACAGTATCAGCTCTGGGTGCTAGTTCGGGGGGCTAGAAACGCCTATGCTGGAGGCGGCCGACGACTCCTGTGGAAGCCACAGAGATCTTCGGGAAGGTGCTAAAGCTGCTTGGCTGACAAGGTAGCCAGGGCTTTCAGGTTCGGGGCGAGTTTAGGAGTGTTACGGTTTGGATTTTTAGGGTGAGGACCCCAGGGCATGTCGGAGCGAACAGCCATCTTTCAGCAGAAGTGGGGTACGCCCTGCATCCAAACCCCTAATCTCCTAAAGCATGAATCCTAGGGTTTAGGGTTTAGGGTTTAGGGTTTAGGGTTTAGGGTCCTATCAAAACCGAAACTACCCAAGCCCTGTAAATCTTCGGCCTCACCATCCCGGAGCTCGAACACCAAATCCCGGAGCCGAAACACTGCGGTGACCGACTCGGATGCTTCGCTTTTCAGGAAGGCGGGGGTATAAGTAAGGTAACCCAAGTGATGCGATGCAAATGAGTGAACGGAGGTTATACAGCTATACCTTGATTCGGGTACTGGCCGAGTCTCACTTAGTCTTGGAAGTGCTGCAAGTTAGGGGTTTGGGGTTTAGGGTTTAGGGTTTAGGGTTTAGGGCATAGCTGCAGCACTTGCAATCGTACCTGTAGCTACCCACGTGCAGCTGCCCATGATCGACCTGGCTGCGCCGCGAAGCCAGCCACTCTTTTTCAGAGCGAAGCCCGACATAGGGTTTAGGGTTGAGGGTTTAGGGTTTAGGGTTTAGGGTTGAGGGTTTAGGGTTTAGGGTTTAGGTTTTAGGGCCATGGTTATCGCTATGAGGACTTTCGCTGTCCTGTTTTTCTCAACCTAGCTACGTCTACCAGCCGAGAGGAATTGCATGCCAGTGCTACGGTTGATGGACAAAATCCTGCATGACCTTGTATACCTAAACTATGGGATTCATGGTGCCATACTATATTTGGGTCATGCAGAATGTTGTCCATCAACAGTACCATCATGTCTGATCACCGCTATTAGACGAAGCTCCTGCTTCATTCATAATGTGAATGTTCATAGAAGGGCGATTTGTCGTATGAATCGTAGTCAGACGGTCGTAATATCCCTAAACCCTAAACCCTAAACTAACGAAAAGGCCACTACACCAAAAAACAACCCTAAACTGACGAAAGGGCCACTACACTAAAAGCAAAACTAAACCCTAGACACTGACGAAAAGGCCACTACACTTAAACAAAAA